CAAGACCAAGCGACGCTGCTAAAGCAGTCCACGGCTCAGGCAAGTCACCTGCACCAAAAGCTGCGCTGGCCTATTTAATTTTCTAACAAAGCGAAGTATCTAAAAACACCTATTTACCCCCCAGCGCATAGGAAAGAGCTACTGCATCTCTTTTTGCAATGGAACAAACGAAGCGTGGGGGGAAAAGAAACGCTTTGCAGAGCAAGGGAGCACCGCTGTCCGCAAAGGAACTGACGATTCCTCCCCGCTGGCCCCGTACCACGGGTTACGGATGGTATTTTGCTCACGGCCGTGACCAGCTGTACTGCTTCTTCATGGCCATGACTTTTTCTTCAGCCTTGTGAGGCTGGCTGGGGATAAACTCCTTTTTTTTCTGAAAAGGATGGGGGATGGGGAGCAGGGGGATGCCAGGCCTCGGCTTCTGGGTTCATTCCCCAGCTGCTGACTCGTGATGTGACGCTGGCTGGGCCATTTCACTTCCCCTTAGCCCTGCTTGTCCTTCTCTAGATGGGGACTGGCTTGGCCGAGTCTATCAGCGGTGTTACAAAATCCTCAGGTCATCGTTTGGAAGGAGCCAGGTGGGGGTTGTGGGAAAAAGTAATGGCGTCGAGGCGGGTTGGCCCACTGCTTTCTGTGCCTCTGGGATGAGCAGGGTAGGTGTGTCAGTGTCGGAGAAGGAAACTTCAAGGCGAAAATGATTAACCAAAAAGCTGCTTTTTTTGCAGGATGCTGGTCTCAGGCGGGTAAATTTGCAGCGAGTCCTGTTCCTCCCTGCGATGAGTTTTGTCTGTCCCGTTGTACCCACCTGGTGATGGGATGGGGAGGAATCGCAGCCTCTTGTGGCATCTGCTTTCCTCACCCTGCTCCCTGCAGGCGTCAGTGCAAGCATTTTTCATGGTCTCAGCAACCTCTACAAGACCCTGAGTGATTTTGAGGCTGTACTGGCTGTGAGCAAGAATAGCACAGCTATTTGTTGTTGCCCAGTGTTTCTGACTACCGAAACAGTCATCCAGCTTCTGCTGTGTTTCTGTAAGCAGATAAGGCTGAGGAGAGGTACTAAGAGCTCTCCATAAATAAAGATATTTAAAGAGGTGGTCTGTGAGCAGTGCAGTGCCCCTAACCTTCAATTTTTGGGAAGCTTGGGACAGAGTGCTTGGGGGTAGGAAGGCTCTGCAGAGGGACCTGGACAGGCTGGATCGATGGGCTGAGGCCAATGCTCTGAGGTTCAACAAGGCCAAGTGCCGGGTCCTGCCCTTGGGTCACCACAACCCCAGCAGCGCTACAGGCTGGGGAGGCGCG